AACCGCAGGGTAGCATAATCCCAAAATAGTGAATTAAAAACGACAATCCGTAAAAAAGACGGTAATTGTCGTACGCAGGTTTTATTTATTCACCATCTAGAAGCTTTTTGCCAGCTTTAGGGATCTAAGCTGGGAAACTATAACTTACCCTGTAACGAATGAATTCCACCAATTCTAAAACGGTATGCTGCGTGGCCATGCACAAGTGCACCAGAATGCGCCAAATGACTTCGAGGTCAGGAAAATGAATAGGCTTATTGGCGGATTTGAATTAATCGTTTGAGTCACAACGGCTACCGAGTTTTTCACAACTGGTTTAAACCAATTCCTCAATTCGGTAAAAACGCCATTTATTATTTGCCACTTTCAGTGCTCTGGCGAATGCCCTATTGATTTCTAAGACGATAATGCTGCGTAGACAGCATACAGTATTAGAATCAGTAAATTATATATGATGCAATAGGTGAGGCGGGTAAAATGACGCATTTGTGATTAAAGTTAACAGACTAAAAGGTTGGCAGCACTAAACCCTTTTTTGCGTTGTGCTGGGTTCGCATTCCACCGAGCCTCTGGTGCGATACAAATCTGGGTAAAATGACTTATGCTTAGGAAAGGTAAATCTGACCATCTTTTGGACAGTTGACATTAGCTATTTAAGTACTGTTAGTTAAGTCAGAACATTAGCCAATGTGTGTGTACTTCATATCTTGGTGACATATTTCAAATCTGGTACGTTTCTTATTCAGAGCACAATTTGATACCCTGGGTTATTATTATTATTTGAAAAGCACATATACTGAGATTAAGGAACTCACAAAAGGCATACAGGAAAGCATACCTTCAAAAGTGCTATTTTGATTTTAGAAGCAGTGGAATAAAAAGCAGGTGAAAAGCAAGCATAAGGGAAGCATACATTTTAAACGCAACATGTAAAAGAAGTACTGCGAGAGGTCTAATCGTATTTCAATTGGTTACTGTAGTATATTCTGCATTTTATTTGAGGAAATAATACAAATAACATCTCTAGTTGACGCATTGACACAGTTCTGAAAGTTTTCGGGCAGATCTTTTTGCACATAACGGTATATTGGACAAATTTATACATGACGTGTTAATTGGTACGTTGTATACGGGTGCACTTTTATTATGTCATGCCAACTAGGTTGCTCGAATGTCCGTGTTATATGTAACGGCGATATTCCCCCCGTGCTATGCTCACGACGCTTTTCGGTAAAAGCAGGTGATTATTCTGGAAGGAGAATATTTAAACCCTTTTGTGAATTATTCTGGATTAATCATTTGTCCAAGAGATAAAAGGATGCTCACCTAAAGGGCCCTTGAACGTTAGCTACTGCAAGCGTCAATGCAATAATGCCAGGAGCCCGCATGAAGATAGTTTCGCTTTGTCTTTCCGAGCGTATGTACACAGTACAGCGTGGAACTCATGCAAAATGTCAATATGTGCAAAAGATTAATAATCACTCGCAAACCGGTATTAGAGCATGCACGAAAAGTTAGAACTAATAATAAGCACCCTTAAGGAAAAAGAATTTAAAAATTACTAATTGCTCGTTAACAAAAAATTCAATTGTCTCAATAACATTCAACATCCTCAAACGTTTAAAATAGCCATAAATTAGATAAATAAGTTGAGATTGTATTGTCAGTTCAATGGACAACCATACCGTTTTGGCTTACAATGAAAGAGTGTAAATATGGCTTGATATGTGAGTATTCTTCGCCACAGTTGATTACTTTAAGGCTCCTTTCTATGTTTTCGAGTGGGCAAATAAATAGTAAGATTTTGTAATAATTTTTAAAGATCTAACGATTCCCTTTCCAAGTTACGCATTTGTGGAAATGATGCTGCACAAATAACTACATTGCTACAGAGTTCAGATTTAGTAGGATTGCTTTTTTCACCTTCACCTTCGCAGTAATATATATGCTGCTACACACGTCCCGCCTCGCGCCGTGAATGTAGTCACGCTGTGTAGCTAAGCGGTTAGATCGTTTGCCGCCGGTAAAGTCCTTCTCTGATACGCGGGTTCAAATCCAGCCGAGCGCCTCGAGTTTATTTTTACAATTGGGTTAACTCAAATTAAGCAAATCTGCTAAACTTCCTAGTAGTTAATTCAGCGCAGTAGTCATTCTGGTGGATTCTAGATGATTGCTTAG